TGGTATCGATGTATTCCATTAGTACCATTGTAAAAAAAAATCTGTATCTATTTTTTTTTTTTTTGAGTGTGTATGCTGTTGGTCGCAGATGACCTTTACAGCGTCACCGGGTTTGGGGACGGCGAGATCCTAAGGGGACCTCAAGCCGAGAATTGGCGAGTGCCTCTGGAGGTGATCCAGTCGGATGACGCCTCCCCGGGGGGAGTCTCCACTCCGTCTGGAGCCTCCAGACCACTCGAACCTGAGGGGGTCGGCTCAACTAGAGGGCGTCTCTGAGACTCGGACCTCGGCTCTAGTTAGCCGTTGTCGTGGGGGGCGGATCTGTATCTATCTTGTAACGAATTTTTTATGTCATAATATTATTATGCGTATCAGCGGATGGCATAAACTTAATTTCACAGAAAATTAATTGACATTCACTTATTTAGTAGATATTTAAACTAATAATTTTGTAAGCCAGAATCATTTTTAGGCATAAAATTAATATCCACAAATAATAATAATAATTAAAAATCAGAACCATCATATCCAGAAAGTTCACAGCCAGAATCGTCTTTTGGCATCTATTATATATGTTGACTGGCGCTTCGCCGGCCAGTGCCGCGGCACGCTCGCTTTGCTCGCTGGGCTCGCTCTAAGATTAGGTCACAACACTTACCTAACCTATAACCCACTGACCACAAATACCGATTATGCTTAGTGAAATTATGCAGAGTAAAATGTTGCCAAAGGTAATTAAGCATAATAATAAAATTCTGTCATCTGAAAAGTACACTTTTGTGAATTCAGACATTAAAACTAAATAAGTATAGTAAATAAAAAAGATTCCTTACAAATATTCGTTTAAAGAAGATTATGCAAAGTATGTTATGCCAAATAAATTTAAGAGCAACAAGATTCTGTCAGATTGGGGGAGCCCATAATTTCCAGTAGTATTAACGTTTTTGAATTTTTTGAGAATATTTTCCATAATAATGTATATTTTTGTATACCTACTTATGAAAGGATGGATTTAACGAATAAAAAGCGCACCATGTGTTTTAAAATGTTTGTCCGTAGAGTAGGGGGAGATAAAGGAGGAGCGTCAAGGAGATCAGGATAATACCGCGGAACGTTGAACACTCATGACTCGTGACATAACGTCACATAACGTGACATGACGTCACACTTTTTCGTACGTGCAGCCGGTGTGCATCGATTAATAAGACGTTGCCACATCAAAAAGCAACTATTAGACGTGTGAGTGTGATTTTTGATTGTAAATACAGTTATTTTTCGATATAATATTAAAATAAAGGAAAAAAGAAATATTTTTAATCCAAACAAAATATTTTTTAACAAATTTCGTATAAAAGTTTTTTCTGGTCAATAAAAATATAAAGTTGTAGGTTTCCCAAAAATCGAGATGAACCCTTTATCCCTCTCACTGAAAAGACCACTCTCCTACTCTTCATGACCCCAAATTTTCTTACATTTCGTAATAGTTTATTTTTTTTTGTTTTTTTTTATTTCACTTTTCACCATTTTGAAAGGCATTATTCGCCGTGACCTAGCAGGTAATTCTTGGATTAGTAACATTTATTGGAATAATAACATAAATATTCTGAACGTTTGAATTTTAATTATTATGCAAGTAACACCAGGTGCTATACTTGTATGTTTTTTCATGGTACTAATGGGAAAAATCAGTGCCATTTGTGCCTTCTTAAGTGTCCGAGATCGATTGAATTCAAGCAGGCTTAGATTAGGTTTCCTAGTGTTGACCACAAAATAATCTTAACTTTAGAGATTTTCCAATTTTACTTCCAATTTAAATTGGCGTTTGACGTGTGCACTAGATGCTCAAAAGTTTTATTGCATTACGTCAAAGTCATTAATGGGTCATCTAACAAACATCAATAACTCTGTTTCAAGTACTAAATTGAGTTTGAATGCTAGTGGAATAGCGAACGCTGCGAGGGCACCTACCGTTTCGATGTAATTAAAATTATTAATAAATGCGATTACCCGTTTAATGATCAGCGAAAACATCCGTGAGTTCAAGTGGATTATTCCAGTATCCGGATCCGGTTCCAATGGACTACCTTCACAAACATCTTGCAGACGTCGTCGATGGAATTCTTATATTATTTATTCATGCAACAAAGTTTGGCATTAGCAATTATTGAGCGTCGCTTTTCAGTGTTTTCTATGTTTTGTTTTTTGATAAAATGTCTAAAAATGTCAAGAATATAAAAATGTTTACTATTTAATTTTATTACCAGAATTTTATTGGACTGGGGCTATTTCGTAATCTGAAAGGTTCTAGGAAAAGGACTATCTTTTCGAGCACTCGTCAACGTCTACATAATTCAAGTTACGATTATCATTAGCCTATCAATGTCCCTATTTCGCCTTTATGAGAGACCTACTTTATGACAAACAGGAACAGGAAAAGGACGTTATATATAAGTTACTCTCTATGCAGTTATTATAATGTGAAATAGTATATTTGTTTCACAAGCTCAATCCTAGATCAGAATTGCACTTTGAAAAAAGTGAAGAGCGATTATATTATCGCAGTTAAAATGTAGATGTTCCTTATCATGACTGTGTGGGAAATACTTTTGTAGAAAAAAAAACACTAAGCTGCTAATTTAAGTTTTACTATTAGATTACGTGCGTACAGCGTGTTCTAACGTTTGCTTATAGATTAGTGGTTGTTATACACCCCGGCAAACTTCTTGAGCAAGGACCATAGATAAGGAAACTTTTTTTTGTCTGGGAAATACTTTACGCATCCTTCAACCACCGAGGGAGCGAGAAGAAGGTATGTGGGACTCCTCTCTGCTCATTACAGCCAGTCCTTGGGCCGGGTGAAATAAGCTGTGCCCTACTTAACGCCCTGAACAGGGCCACTAAAAACCAGACAATACTACAGCACCGGTCATCCGGCGTACATTCTGAGGACCGCAGTCCCTCTAATGCACCCCGGGAGTGCGGGTGTGGTCGCGGCTATCGTTGCCGACTGTCCGCGCACCCACAAGGTGATTGTCCGCGAATAGACCCACCCCGATGAAGATGTCGTGGAGTATTATTTATTTATTTATTAGGAGCATCAACATCCAGAGAACTTGTGCAATGTGGGCCAGTCCCTGCCCAGGACAGACCCGCGGCTCTGAGTGGGAGGGAGAGCGTAGTTCTCTACTTCCCTCTCCCTCCCCCCGTGACCCTAATAAGCAAGCGCAAATCGCAATGATCCGAATCACTGTGGGGTGATGATCCTACCATGGTCCTGAGAAGGACCGTTGTACCGTCTTCAGCACTCGAAGTGCTAACCATCCAAGGTATCCAATATCTTAGGTAAGGAAGCCTGCGCAGTAATCATTCTACATAGAAGAACGTCCAATACACAATTTTATTTGTCTGAGCTTTTGCTAAATAAGTTTGTCGCTACCTTTATCATTTAAGTCATTATGCAGTCGAGCGAATCTAAAATAGTGAATTTCTTGAGTGGAATAAAAATAATATGACGGCTCAGAGCTTGGCGAATGATTCAAAATAGGGTTAGAGCCCTATTTTTTAAAAGCGGGTAAGCAAATATTAAATGCGAGTTTAAACGATTGATAGAAACTAGACAGAGGTCACGACCGTGACCGTATCAGATCCCTTCAGACGTTCAATAGTTCAACGGGTCTTTAACTCTCCTTGTGGTAAAATAATAGCTATGGTTAAACCTATATCTTTTGATGACACGAATCGAGCGAGTCCCTCACAGTGGTATCTAGAGATTTGACAATAATTATTAGCAACGTAACTTTCTCCAATTGAATAGTTAAACCAGTTCTGAGTTATATAATAGTTTTATTTTTGCAATTATTTTATAATTAGGGATATTAAAACACGAACGTGGGTTTATTATTAGTACTTAGTATAGTAGTATCACACAGTTTAGTAACAGATGAGTGTTTTAATACCTAATTACTAACAACTTGTTCAGAATCTTTTATAGAGAATTCATATCATGATGATATGTATTCTCTATAAAAGATTCTGAACAAGTTGAACCCCATGGGGCGTTCTAAGAACTTAAAATTCTTGAAAAGTTTCGGCGCTGTGGTTATAAAGCGCGCGTGAATGCCAAATTTCTTTTTCTAAAGTAAAAATTGTGGCTGTCTGATATGTCCTTTGCGCGGAAGGTATCGAAAAAGCGAAGGAGTGTTATTATGAAATTTATCACCACATTATATCACCAGTTTGAATGATATTATGGTTATTAGGACATTGGATGTTTTAATGTCTCTACTTCCCTCTCCCGTAAAAACTGTCGAAGCAGTTAATATTTGACAATAATCTGGCTGATGCACATAGTACTTATATTTTATAGCAACCTCTGTTCATCGTTATAATGCTGAAGATTCGCACAGCAGTCGCCTCGGGCTACTTGCAAATTTGACGCGTTTTATCTTTGAATTACAAAGATTTTGGTTGATGGACAAATAAAAAATAAGTGTCCATTATTTTTTAATAATCCAACTGATGGACTAAATAGAATTTCGTTTATTATACCCAGGCATCACCCCTATTCTAGTTGCGATAACATGCTGATGTGGCTGTGCAACATATTTACAGTGCTAATCTAGTCCAGCAGTAACTTAAATTGTGACAAATACATACAATAGAAGTGATTTCGTTAGTCCACCTAGGTGGACATATTAAGTGGGCCACGACTCGTTACCGGCCTAAAGCGAGTGTGTATATAATGAAAATTTAATACCAAATGCAACTGCAAACACTATCATAGTATACAAACCTTTCAGAGAGAGTAAATCGTTAAGAGGTGATTTACATTTCAATTTAATTATAGTACATCAACATACTATATCTATATATATATTCCGTCTGTGTCAATGGCCTATCAACTATTTTGCAAACATCAAGTTTTGATCTCAGCACATGATTCACTTAGAAAACTGGGAATAGTTAAGTTTAATCAGTAAGACGATTGCTAGCACAACAAAAGCGGAGCTGCCTTCTGTTCTTAAAGTTTTGGATTCAAACGTTAGATAGGTTTGGGTAGTTATTTAATGAACATAAACGTTTTATTCGCAGTTCATAAATAAAGAACAAATATCATATATATGTTTCATTGATTACAATAAATCACGATTAATATGAGATGAAATATATTCAAATAAAAAAACAACATCAACAGATAAACCGTACTGTCCATATATTCATCGTATTTATCATGTTTGGTTAATATAATGGGCCGTTGAAATAATAACGACCGGGCTATTTAAATCATGAATGGAGATAATTTATAAGGCACCTCGCGCACTAGGCTGCTACTACCACTCTAAATTAACTAAAGAAAGCATATGAACGTTGCGCACATGGCCGCAACGGTCAATTGGTCGCACATTGGTCGTTGCGGCCAACTTACGTAAAGTTTTCTGTGAACAAACGCGCACTAGATCTGCGACCGCGAAATCGACCAGCCATTCTCAGTATCATGCAGACAGTTCGTGAGTGTTCGTATCGTTCCTTCATACAGAGTTATTTATTAATGAAATAAAGAAATGACCAGCACTATGGCCGCTTTATGACCAGCCGCAGCCCAACCCTCTCTTCTTCTTCTTCTTCTTCTTAACGGGGGTGTTTTCCGCAACTCGACACCAGGTGCCTATTTTGCGTGAGAGGATGGCCTTAGTCGTGCCATCCCAACTCCCCTCTCTTTTGCGATCAGGGTTATAGCAACGGGTCATGGCCGCCCAGTGCGCGGGTTGCCTAAGTCAGAATTTCTCCTGACTTGGAAAGGCTTAAAACTAATTAATCTTTCTTCCAAGTAGCAAATGCTCAATCTCCTCTACGCTTCGGCCTTTTGTCTCTGGGAGGAAGAGCAAAGATACAACCGCTCCTATTACATTGATACTAGCGAATATGTAGAAGATGGTGTGCAAGTCTAGTACTGAGACAGCGCCGTAGATCGCCAGTTGGACGAAGGAAACGAACCAGCCGAACGTTACGATGAGTCCAAGAAGTTTAGCTCGAACCTGCAAAAAAATTAACAAGGATTGAATTTTATTTACATAAAAGACACATAGACCACTTTGTAAAAACGCAAGATAATTGATTTTAATACGCCAAATCCAAATATGACGTCGATATGTATACTAAAGAAATCAATAGAGAGAGAGGTTGCTAATTTTGAAATTTCCTTATGTGATTAGATGTTTAATATTTGCTGGGTAAAGGTAGGAACTTGCCCTTTGTATGTCCTGAACAGCTTAAGGAAAATATATTAGAATCATCTCACAAAAACCTAAAAATATGTCTAGATTCTTAAATTTTAGTTTAAATAGAAACATAAAAAATTAAAGATAAGGGTATTCAGTCAAATCAAAAGATATAAACATCAAAGTTATTATCATTATCAGACTATTAGTTTAGCCACTTATATTTCCTATGATGAATTAGAGAGAAGGGGCTACAACCATCAGACGGGCCCAGTATGGATTGGAGGGAGTCAATGGCTGTAAATACAGCCGAGACCAACAACAACTTGGTGTGGCGCAAGGAGGAGCTCAAAACAAACAATTTTTGGTCACCTATCTGATCATCGATTGACTAAGTTACACTTTCCCCAATTTGACTCTAATTATTGTTATTTTCTAATTTCAGTAGGTATTTTAGATACTGCCTTAACATGTGTTTGTAACACAGGGCGTAGACCCCGAGCGAACGACGCTACTGGTAGCTCGGATGTCCGCTCCCATCCAACGATTAACCGCAGCATCTCACGAGGGCATTGAGTCACATAAACTGTCGCCTACCCACGCATCTACATATTGTAAAGCGTTTCGCATTCAAAGGGTAACAAATGAAAGCCTATTATTAGCACTGCGTTGTCCGTCAGTTTGTCTGTGTATCATGAACGGGCTTTGGTATGAACCGTAATACCTAGTCAGCCAGCTTAAACTTATAGTACATTATATTTTTACACACGCCATAAAAGTACACTAAAACTTATGTAAAATTAAAAATTAAGAGTGACATTTTCGTCACTTTTTGTCCGGCCATATGTTAAAGCCCAAGAACACAAATAAGGAGGATTTATTTTAATTTTGGCGTATGAATATAAGGATTGAAGAAGAAGCTACTTAGAATGCTTTAGTCGCCATCTCTCTTGCGTGGACACAAAAAATTGTATTCCTTTGCTTTCGTTCGACCGTTTTTTCTCCAACTTACTTGGCAAATATGATTACCACAAAAAAGTCTACATTTTTCTAGCTAATATATAGCCTACTCACAAATAACGTGACTTTCTAAACTGAAAAAAATAATTCTTGGTAAAAGAATTTTCAAAATCAGATCATTAAATGCACGGATCATACCCACCACGTCACAAACTTTACCTCGTTAAATATTATAGTGTAGATAAAATTTAAAAGGAATAAAAAGCAAAGAAATAAATCAAATTTTAACGCTCGCAAGGGATAGAATTCTTTAATTTGTAGAACACTGCAGCCAAATAGCAGTGTTGTGTCGAGTCCAGTTCAATGAGATGATTTAAATCACATTCTAGATCCTGCTTACCTGGAAATTGAAAACTTCAGCCATGACGACATAAGTCATAGGCAATATGCCAGCTGCGTACGCCCACACGGTGGTGACTATGGCTGCTACTGGCATCCAGCTTGGCACCGTGATGTCGGTCTGCTGTAGCATCATTATCGTAGCCAAACAAGAAATTGACAGCACCGATATTATATATGCTCCGGCTAATAAAAACTGCAACAGTACCACCTTATTACTTTACAATTATTTGTGATATCTCACAGCGTATCACAGATTTTCTATTTTTTTCATAGCCGCATTGTTTCCTTTGATAGTCTTCCAACATTTTTCCTCAAATTTTTAAATGTTTTTTTACCTAAGTTTGTCAGTTTCATTCTCTATTGGAACATTTTCTACCCTTACCCATTAAAATGAATATTTTTATTCGTCATTTATTTCTAAATACTATTAATCATCACCAAAGTTGTTAATGTTTGTTGCAATATTACTTTTTTTTATTACTCATAGTCTGTTATGTAAAAACAATGACCAAACTATCCTTATCTTTAAAGAAATGATATTGCTTACCTTTCTTCCTAGTTTTTCCACGCAGATCATAGAAAAGAGCGAACCGATGATCATAAGTACTGGAATACTCAAAGTTTGAAGTTCGGGGTTGGCAGTGATTCCCGATTCAGTCATAATCTTCAACGCGAACGTGAATATTGTGTAATATCCGTTCATATCCAATGTTATCATAAGGATTGTGCATAGAATGAAACCACGACACCAGGCTTTGTTTTTGACTGAACAGCAAGTATAAAATATATTTATATATATATATATATATATATATATATATTATTATAATGAGTATATTTAAAAAAGAAAGGATATTTTTCTTTAAATAAGAATTTTATTAATTATACCTTTTAGCAACTTTTTATACTTACATATGCTTAAAAACGTTATACGTTCAACCTTATCGAAATGAGCTTCTTCATTTTTCATTTGTTCAATTTCGGTTTGAACTATTTTATCATGTTGATGCAATCCTCTCAACATGGCTATGGTTTTTGCAGCTTCCTATGAGTAAAAGTTTCAACTATAAATATTAATGTCTATCTACTAAATTACTAGTATTATTCAAGTAAATTAATCATTAAATGCGCTTTATACCAGTTGAAATATTAAGGATTTGTATAAATAAATCATTAACACTGACCTCAAGTCTACATCTCTTTACAAGAAATCCCGGGGATTCGGGTGCTAACCACATAAATACAACGCTTACTAGAGAAATACTAAGTGCAATCCAAAGTACAGTGTAGTAATCAAAATACGCTCCCAAGGAGTACATCGTCAGTAATCCAATATTTGGAAATATCATGGAGAGAGACACCATTTTGCCTCTTGTGCTGTCTTGGCTTATTTCCTTGATGTACATTGGGATTAGGTTAAAACAACCACCTGCTGGTATACCAGCACATATCCTCGCTATTATTAAAACTGTTTCATTGCTTGATATCAATTTTATTGCCCAGCACATCTGTAATGAAAATGTAAAATAATGAACTGTTGACTGATATTCAACTTATCAATTTGTGGTAAATAACAAAGTTTGCTGCAATAGATTGAACTTGAGTTTTTAATGTTAGAGAATGTTACCCGAGTAGTCATAAACTTACTGCCTGCGGTATAGCCATTGCTATAACTCCTGGTCTTCTGCCATACGCATCTGATATGTAGGTATACAGTGGAACTCCGAATACAGCTGCTATTGACAACGTACTGGCTATCCAGGAGATTTCAGCATCTGAGAGAGGTTTGCCAGCCGGTGATGCTTCGGATTGCAATATCTTAGTCATGGGCGAAATCCAGCCACCTTGTAGACCATAGTTCAGTAACGTAGATGCAGCTAAAAATTATTGTTTTATTTCAAATGCTTTCATTCTATTGTGGTTGACGATGCTTTTTAGGACTTTTAATTTTTAATAAATTTAATAGTGCTTGTCATGACAGTTTTGTTACTAAGGCCACACTACATATTTTTACTGTACAGCAATGGGAATTTTAACATGCTCTAGTGTGTGTTTTGTAAACTGTCCTTAAAAAAATAAACGGTTCGAATTCTTCATTATATAAAGAAACTTTTTGTATTTTGACTACCTGTATAATAGATTTATCATGATTTTTCATTAGTATCTCTCAGACGTCTTCAAAATTAATTCCTTATTACTACTTTCCTTTATGTCTTCTTTAAATAGATTATTTATTTTTGCTATTTCAGAATAAAGTTATTGTTCTTCGAAGCGGAGTAAGTAGGTATAATTTATTAAATTCAAAAAACAATCAATTTCTTTCAATAAATGCTATCATGTTCACTCATCTTTTGTGTCATATTAGATCATCAAGAAGATTTTACCCAGAATTGAAACCATCCACTGCACATAGGTATGTCCTGCTGTTTGTTCTGCCTTCATCTCACTGGCACCGCATTGTAGAGCCGAATTTTTTTCACACGACATTTTTATATAAAGTTAAGAAATATCACAGTTCTATACTACCGCTTAAACACACGAAATAGTTACACTGGCATGAGCGATACAGTCTGTTTAGGAAAAACCTTTTTTACTAATATATACAAGATATTGATAAATAAAAACCGGGCAAGAGCAAATCCAACTCGCAGCGCATAAAGGATTCTGTACCTTTGTACAATTTTTAACACTAGGTTAAGCAAAAATGTCAAAACAATCACGGCCCCTTAAATTTTTATTTGACGTTATATCGACGGTAGAAATACAAATTCTATAGAAATTGCAACTGTCAACTACTGTCTGTCACAGTTAATTCTTATTAAAACCCGCTGTCCGTTGGACGTATGGACATTTGAAGGCTTTTTAATAAGGCTCCGTATTCATTCTTTGGATGCGGAACCCTAAACGGAGCAGACGTTATATCACAGCGTCGAAAAAAAACATTATAAATATGTAGCAACACAGGTTAAGTAATGTCATGAGATGAAAGCCTTGTTACGTGTAAATTTCAATTATGCATGATTGAGCGTGATTTCACAAGGTTGTCACAAGAAAATAGTGATATTGGAAAAAATAAATGATCCTTAAAAGATAAGAACGATCGAACCAATTGATTCCCCACCCACTTGCCCTTTAATTCGCTTAAAAGTATCAAAACAGACAATTTTTTCTTTGAAGAGAATGCGTAACTGCTCTGAGGACCTTCTAATAACAAGAAAACTGTGTTAATAAATGGAGAAAATAAATTTTAATATTATAAGTCAGAAAAACGTTGAATTAACTCGTGACTCCTGGCCCGTTATCATAACGTGGCTTAACGTGACATGACATCACACTTTCGTGCGTAAAGCACCGGCTATCGATGAACACCGGCTCATCGATTTATAATACAATTGTAAACCTAAAGATTAGGTTTTAGATTGGCAGTAGTATTTTTTGGTAATCATTTACTTTTTTTTAAACAATAATTTATACATAAGCCATTTTTTTGTCAGTGACCTTCCAGTTACGTTGCCTACTTCACCAGGTAAGATAAGTACATGACAGATTTATGCCTATTTTTTCTGAAATCGAATCATCAAAGATATTATTTGTTTCCAAGATCTTACTTATCACTTTATTCTATCCGTTATTGGTTTACATAGTTTGTACTATGTTTGTACTATAATATAAATAATTTGTACTATGTAAACCAATAACAGAACTTGTGTCCTGATTAGTTTGGGAGTATTCTTCGAAAAACATAAAATTTTAATTACATGCACATAATTATGTTTTCAGTATCTTACGTGAATCGCACTCTTTATTTTTCAAACAAGTTGACATTAAAGGAAAGGGAAAATATAAAAGGAAATTAGGTGTATAACCTAAGTATACCCTCACCTTCACTCTATGCTCCGAACAGTGCTTTGGTAGAGAGACCCCCTTTGGACTGTCTGCCCTGACGGCTCCCCTAGGGGAGAAGACATGAGAACTACTACTACCTACTTTGAAAATTTTATATTGTATATCCTCTGTCATGTTAAGCCATATTGGCCGTTTGAAACTAAATAAGTACAAATACTTATTTTCCTGTATACCTTTGCCTGTTCCCTTGAGGATACAGTGAAAAATTAAATTTAATCGCTGTAACCTTGGCCAAAAAACTAGACCAACTATAATTTCTATTTTTATATATAAAAAAAGAAGTTATTTTTTTCCATTTTCATCACCAGAACCACTTGGCCATGTATGGTCTCATGGAATAAAAAAAAATATTTTATAAATGTTTATGGTTTTAATGTTAAATAAAACTAGTTTTAACGAAACTTTATTTATTTATTGACGTTTCGCAGCTTTTTCAGGCTGCTTCGTCAGAATTATTATTTAATTTTAATGTTAGCTTAACAAGCTCAATGCACAGAGCTCCAACTGAGGCATGCTCTTGAAGAACTCAAGCATGCAAAGGAGACTTGTAGTCAGCTACTTCAAGAACGTGAGGAGAATGAAGAAGAAATTAGAAAGGTCATAGACAGGAACACGCAGCTTAAGTGTGAACTATCGCATCTTCATACTGAACACATAGAAGTCCAACTACAACGAGACAATTTGAATGATACCATCAGCCACTATGATGAGCAGTTCAGCACTTATGAGAGGGCTCTGCAACGCATCACTGACCTTGAGAAGGAGCTAAGTGCAGCAAATACCCAAATAGCGCATTTTATGGAAGCTCAGCAGCTTCAAGAGTCAGCACATACCCAAAGTCTTTATGAGGAACTGATGGCATCACCCGGAGGACCTCTAATGCAGTGCCAGCAGCCCATCTATTCTAAATGTAACTCTAACCCCTGTGTAAATGATTTGAATTCTGACAATTCATGTCAATGTTCTGCCGGGAAGGGACTTGTTAAGCTTAGTAAGAACAAATTAAAAAGATATGTTAAAGTCAGAAGGTATATTTTAAAAACTAGGAAACTTATAAATAAAGAAAAAACATTTTATAGAAATATTGAGTTTGTTAAAGAACGTACACAGTTACTACAAAAATTAGATATTTGCCGTTCCATAATTGAAGAAAATAGATTAACATATGAACAAAATATGGAGTCATTGAATATTAAGTTAAAAAGCCTTCAACAATCATTATCTAAAATGACTCAGAATTATAATAACTCAAAAAAACAGATAGATGAATACATTCTGGCCTTAAAGTGTCTATCTAACCCCTCCCTTCACGAAGACACACCTGTAAAGTGTCACTCTTTGGTATCGAATCAGAGCATTACTGAAGAAAATGACACTGATCCAGTATGTGAGTCCTTGATTAATAAATCTGTTCACTCAGAGACCACAATTAGATGTAATTCTTTTAAGCAGAGAAACTTTCATAAGTATATAATGTTATGTGACGAATTTGGTAAAGATCTGGGTTGCTTACTACAAAAACAGCTGGGTGAAAATACAATTAATTATTGTTTGCCAGGTGTCACAATGCACCAATTAATGAAGAAAATATTAACTCTTGAACTTGACAAAAATACAAGTTTAATTATTTTAATTGGTAATAGAGGTAATGTTGGCAAAAATGACATTATGACTTACTATAACTCTTTGTGTTCTCTAAATGTAAATAGAATAGTTATGTATACATTTCCTTATAGTAAGAGTCTATCAAGTGAAGAAAATAATATTAGGTACAGGCTAAATTTGACATTAAGTACCATGTCTCAGTATAGTGGTCAAAAAGTACATTTAATTGATATAAATAAATTAATATATAATTTTAAAATGACAAGAGATAAATATTATCTTTCATATTACCATAAGAGACAAATAGCTTCTTCGCTATTATTTTATTTTACACACATAGCCAAAAACTTGGCTAACACTACTGCTTCTATTGAGCAGCATAATTATGTGGATCAGACTTTGGAATTTGTTCCAAATACTGTCATTACTTGTAATTTAAATTAGTTCGTAAGACAACAGAGGAGCTCTCTAGCTATATCAAGACCAAGGAAAAGTCTAAATTTCTAAATATTGTTCACCAAAATATACAAGGCTTTTCTGGTAAAGACTTAGAACTATGCTTATTTTTAAATACAATGAATATAAACATTTTATGTATTACAGAGCACTGGCTCAGAAATTATGAATTAGTTACAGGCTTAGATAATTATACAGTTGTTAGTAGTTTTTGTAGGAAATCGGCTATCAGGGGAGGCTCTCTCATAATCTTACAGAATAATCTTAAATACAAAGAACGTGCAGATATTGTTTCACTTTCAGTTGAACGTAATGTTGAACTATCTTGCGTGGAACTGGAAGAAATGATCATAATATGTGTATATCGACCCCCATCTGGGAATTACACTCAATTTGAGTCCGCTATGGAAGACACTTTCAATATAGTATGTAAATGTAATAAAGTGGTTGTTGTGTGTGGTGATTTTAATATAAACATTTTAGTTAAGTGTCCATTAGTGAGTAGGTTTCTAAACTTATTTAGATCATATAACTTGAAGCATACCTTCTTTGAGCCTACCCGCATCACACATGCATCAGCAACCTGTTTGGATAATATTTTTTGTAATAGAAATGTTTTTAATAAATCAATAATAAATTGTATTAATTCTGATCATAGTGGACAATTAGCCTCTATTGAACACCATCATGCTTCACCCAAACATGACCTAACTTGTAGACCAATTACACAAACGGGTATAAATAAATTTCAAGATAACGTTTATCACAAAATATCGAACTTACCAGTTTGTAATAATAATAATATTTTGTATGAAGATTTATTCAATTTAAATAAAGATGAATTCAATAAAATATTTAAACGCAAATTAATTAAATGCCATAGCTCTAAAAAGAAATTTAGTGATTGGGCCACACCGGGTATTTACAAAAGTAGAAATAAGTTGTATCAATTATATGCTCTCAAGGCAACCTCATCTGATCCTAAGTTTATAGAATATGTCAAAAACTATTCAAAAACTTTTAAAAAGGTGTGTGCCATAGCAAAGTCTAAGTTTTTATCTAAAAAAATTAGTCTTTCCGATAATAAAATAAAGACAACTTGGAATATAATTAATAATGAAACTGGAAGAAATAAATTTAATGAACATACATATTCTTTAAAAATAGACAATAAGATTATTAGGACAGATGATGCCGTTGCAAACACTTTTCAAAATTTCTTTTCTAGTGCACCATTTGAAACAACTAGAAATCTTAATTCTTGTTCTAGGTTAGCAATGACCCTCCTTGAGTCAAGTGTTGATAAGTGCAGTAATGATTTTCATTTTAGACATATCAGTAGTGATTGTATTATAAAAACTTTTAATTCAATTAAAATTAAAAAGACAGAGGATTATTGGGGAATATCAACATATATAATAAAACCGATTATCACTGTCATTGCGCCAAAACTGGCCATTATATTTAACAAATGTATTGATGAGGGAGTGTTTCCAGATCTAATGAAATGTGCTAAAGTTATCCCTCTCTTTAAGGCTGGTGAGAAATCAGATCCCAGCAATTTTAGGCCTATATCTGTATTACCAGCGCTAAGTAAAGTATTTGAGAAAATAATTTATAACCAATTACTAGCACACTTTTCTATAAATAAGCTATTTCATTTAAAACAGTTTGGTTTCACTAGAGGCAAAAGTACTACTGATGCTGGAACTGCACTTCTCAAACACATCTTTGATATATGGGAGAGTAAGCACGATGCTATTGGCATTTTTTGCGATTTATCTAAGGCATTTGACTGCGTTAGCCATGAAACATTGTTAAATAAAATGAAGCATTATGGTGTATCAAATATTTCACTAAGTCTGATACAGTCTTATCTTTCTGCTAGGATTCAGAAAGTGGTTATAAATCAAGCTGAGTCTACAGGAGCACCCATTTCTATGGGCGTACCCCAGGGTTCAA